AAAATCCAAGTGATGGTGGTATTATTTCAGCCTGTGACCAGATAATATTGGTCAAAGGTAAAACTAGGGAACCAGCCATCCCCAAAACTGACTATTTCCGTCCCCACCCCATGCATAATGACAAAACCAGGTCTTTAGGTTTTTTTCTGAAGTCTAAAAGGGAGGGGGCCAACCTCACTTCTGGGGGAAGAGTGTTCCAAAGGGCAGGGGCTGCTGCAGAGAAGGCTTGCCTCCTGGACTCCGTCAGATGAAATTCTCTTGCAGATGGGGTCCGTAGTATGCCCCCTCTGCATGACCGGGTTGGACGGGTTGATCTAACAGGGATGAGACGGTCCTTCAGGTACCCTGGACACATGCCATGTACGGCTTTAAAGGTGATAACCAACACCTTGAATTGGACCCAGAAGCAAACTGGCATCCAATGCAGCTCACGAAGCAAAGGTGTTATATGTGCTGATCTTGGTGCACCTAAAATTGTCTGTGCAGCCACATTCTGGACCAGTTGAAGCTTCTGGATACTCTTCAAGGGTAGCCCCATGTAGAGCGTATTACAATAGTCTATATGGGAGATGACCAGGTTCAGTTCTTTCCACAGCTGAAAGAGCAAGGAAAATAATCTTTTTTAAAAATGATGCAACAAATGGTACGTGTCAGGTCCCTTTTGCAACCAATAATTTTATTCCTCTTCTTTGGAGCATTTTTTAAAGTTTGCTATTGATCTGAGGGGCAAATAGAAAAATAAGTATAAAACATAAAACTTCCATGAGACAAAAATAATCAAAAATCAAACAGTCAACATACAATCTAAAAACAAGAAGAAGACAATTCACAGGATGGTGTAATCATAACTAAGTTTTAAGAAGCCATCCAGGAGAACTCCTTCTGGAATTACTTTTGGAGTACATTGGTGTCAAGGCAAACCAAACTTCCAGGTGAAGGCTGTTCCCTAGTACTGGGGCCATGACTGTAGATTAATATCCTATTTATTATTTAAATTCTCAAAGAGCTATATAGATGGCATCCAGTTCACTTGTCCAGCCTGACAAACTACACATTTGCATTTTCTTGATTCCTATACCCAACCCCATTTTTGTTTTGGGGTTTCCTTATTGGACATCCTCTATTTCTAGATTCTTGTATCTGAGTAAAAAAAAAAAAAAACGATTATGATTAACACTGTAAAGTGAAGACCAAACTGAACCTTATGTCCTTGACCAAATAGATAGCTTAATGGTATCCTGCAAAGCATAGGAAAGTAGTCCAGACTTTTTACATCATTTGTAAGAAGATATATCTTCTGTAGAAAGGACATGTAGCCAAGAAGATTCTACTTTGGAATCTCACATAAGTAAAAGCTTAGCAGGAGCTTAGTTTTTCATCAGTTTTTGTAGATTTCCTTAGTTCATTCTGTTCCACCCCCAGGAACATTTTTGACAGAGGTTAGGTGTCTTCAAAGCAATGTTTACTCTAGACAGAATATCAAATTACAGGGAAAGTGAAGTACTCTCTGTTGCCTTTGGCCAAGAAATCTTTGGCCAAGAAAGTGCCAACCCTGACTACATGTGGTGCCTTAGAAAATTCTTTGTGCAAACCCTCAACAAGCATCCATCAAGCAGTGAAAGAGAGGGAGAGAATCACAGCTCCTTCACGGAACTGCACTCCTGCTACCTTTAAAGGTTCTTGCTTATAGAGTATATCTTCAGAGCAGCTACATGGTTATGGGATATATTTTTCCAAAGCACTGTAAAGCTTTTACGTTCTCTTCAGCACTGGCAGCCTTGAACGTCAAGTACAGCAAAAGGTATAGGGGACTCGTGATCCTGGAAAATCTGCTTCCATTTTATCAGTCTGATACATGTCAAGGTGCCACATGTCCTCTTAACATGAATATCTCTTCTCTTATTAAAGCATCAGGGACGACATTTTTGGTGTCTCTTCTTCCAAGTCAGAGTCTTTGCATCTCAACCCCCTGCCTCAATTTTCTGAATAGTTCTTTTTTCCATATATGTTAGATCAGTAGGCAGGATGTCCTTATACTTCAGCCTGGAAGTGTGTTTATGTTCTGGACTGCCTACATACTGTTTCAATGTTCCTTCTTTACAAATATTTCACAACAGATTAATGTGTATAGCTCAGCCATTGTTAGAATACAGAGGTCCTTTTGAAAACGTTCTCAAAAAGGGTGGAGAAGCAACCTTGCATTTACAATCTGATCTGAGCCCAGGGAGATTCATCCTCTTGAAAAAGTAAAGGGGTCTCTGCTTAGTTGTTTTGGGGGAAGGAAGAATGGCTTTCAAGATGATCAGTAAACAGAATGGTGTAACAATGAGATTTCTGTTTTATCTCCCCTTCTGTCTTGCCCATCTGTTGTTCTTTTGGTTAAAAGCCAGCTTAAAGAACTAAAAAATCTTGCTTGTTAGTTTGTAATATTTTAATGAAATCCTTAAAAAAAAAACCTTAATATCTCATCGAATGTAAAATTTAAAATTAATTATGGTTACTGATAATTTAAAAAGAATTGCAAAATTAATCTGTATGTTATAGATTATTCAACATAGACATAGTAGGATTACATAATGGATATTTTATGAGCTTCTAGGGGAAAAAATGAAAATTAGATTCTGTACAACAGCAGAAATGCAAACCCTTACAGGTGAAGTAGGTCTCAGTTGTTTGGAGATGGGCTCTTCTCTTTCATATTTCACGAGTTTACTATAGCTAGCACCTGGTAGAGTTCAGCACACATGGATGTATGCATAGTCTGCAGTGGTTCTAAAGGAGCAAGGATGGAGTCATTCTGAAGGGGATCCAAGGCACAGATTACTCTCCCAACCTGAAGCTTTGGAAGATAAAGCTTTTTTTTATGGGACTTTATTTTAGTATTTGCAAGCTAGGTTTTTCCCTCCCTAGTTTGCCATAAGACAGGCTCTCTTCAGATGTGGAACTTGTGCAGTCATTCAAAGTGAACTAAAAGTTTAATCCTGTCAGATCAAAATATGACAAATTTGTTAAATAACAGAACATGAATCACATCCTATTCTAAGGAGTGAAATAGAGGACTATGATGTAATGACTTAATATAAATGTATGTGTGTTTAAAATTATTGTGCATCTTCAGAGTAATTCCTATAATCCTCCCACACTGCTGTATAATTGGATACTCGTCATTTGAATATCCCATTTTATTTACTTATTAATCAAATATTTGTGTACCACTTCCTAAATGATGAAGCAGTTAGGCACAGCTAGGAAACTTTTTCAATAGTTTGGCTCCATTTGTTTGTTTCTCTTATAGTCATAAGTGGTGCTTGTATTTACTCTTGGTACTCCAGCCCAACAAGAGAAATAGAGAAGTTGAAACAGACTTCATTCAGGAAGCTCCCAGATTTTGCGATTGTGAAGTTAGATGCAGGATACCATGAAGCATATTCTCAGCACCAACAGAGCTATGGCAGGAGAGAAAAATCAGTGTCAATTTTCACTCGCACTGGCAGTGCTTTTCTACTGATGTGTAATCTATTACTTTTACATTTGCGTTCTATAGGGAGACCCAGGAGAAATTATTGGAATGGTGCGAGATGATTTGCAAAAGGGTGAGAAAGGACTACCTGGCCACCCTGGATTACCAGTAAGTTTTATTATAACTAGCAAAGACCACAATTATGGTAATTAGTGGGGCAAAGAAGAATCTTGTTATTACAAGAACCTTAGAGAGGGAACTGCCATGCACTGCTATGCACTCTGTGGATTGTCCTCACCCCCTGAGTCTATCTGCAAAACAGAATCCAAAAGTTAAATGGTGAAGCCCCATACAACCCTGTGGAAGTGAAGGGCAATTATTCATGCACTGAGGAATTCATTGAGATAGGAGATATCTTGACTGCCCCTGGTCAGCCCTGGTATCCTGGGAATATTGCTTCCTTTGGGGATCTGATCTGGACTAATCTGGAAAGAAATGTTAAAGTCCTGGTGGATAATTCAGTGGAAATATTTACCCAACATGTGGCAATTGTGAAAACACTAAGAATTACTAGGAGAGAGCTTGAAATTGCATTATACCCATACTGTAATGTCCATATGCAGTCTGTGATGTGGGTACCTATGAATAACTATGATTTCTGTTTGCCCCATCTCAAAGAAGATAGCTTAGGGCTGGAAAAGGTACTGAAGAGAATCATCAGAATTAAATACCTAGTGGTTGAGTGCCATTTGTATAAGGAAAGGCTAAAATGGTTGGGCCTTTTTGATTACCACCGTTACAGTGATATCAGAGATTACAATGAGATATAAAGGGGAAATCAGCTAAATTTTTGTTTGAGCTTGGCTCCTGAATCATGTTTAAGTGTAGGAAATTATGACATTATATAGCAAAGTGGCTGAGAAACTGTATTGCTAACATCGTTTTTCAACCTTTTTCTTTTTTCATACCCAGGGATCCCCTGGACTCCCAGGTGTTGCTGGCCCTATCGGACCACCTGGACCTCCTGGAAGACAAGTAAGGGGTTTTAAAATACATATTGCAAGAACTCGTGGTTTCAATTAGGTTTTGTCTAAATTGGTTTCAACAGTATAGGTATGTTGAACATGCATTGGGATCAGCTGGATCTCAGATCAGGTGATTTCAGAGAATTTCACTGGTTTTCTGAAGTAAAGCAAGACTTCTCCAGATGGACCCAAATGGAATTGGTACTTCCCTGAATTTTCAGAACCATTTCAATACTTTAAAGGGCTGCAGAAAGGGAGACCATGGGTTTGCAAAAATGTATATGAAAAATGCCAAGGGAGGGAGAAATCAATGTTGACTGACTGACTAATGCCGTATTTGTGCACCACTGTGCACCATCCTCAGCCATCCCTACTTTCCCTTCCTTGCACCCACCAGTGCTCCCTATACCCAGCCAATGCCATGAGACCTTGGCTTCTAGAGGGAGGGGTAAACTATGAAGCAGAAGGTGGAAGTTCTTGCTCATGGGAAGGTGATCCATTCCACAGCCACAGAGGAAGCCCTGTAGAACTGGACAAATGTGCCACCCTTACCACCAAAAGGGGAAAAATAGTGAAAACTGAAGGAATCAAGACGCCCTATGGAAATAACATCAAGAGTTTGGATGAAGAAGATCACTACAAATACC